ATTGGGCTTGTGAGCAGATACATAGGAGATCCGAAGTCTTGATAGTTGTTGGCAGCAAAGAGGATTCTCCTATACATCAAAGGTACAACTAATTTTGGTTTATTTTATTCAAGTTCTAACAACTTTGAACTTGTTACATACACTGATAGTGACTGGGCCGGAGATGTTGATGACCGGAAGAGTACAACTAGTTACGCTTTCTTTATCGGTGACACTGCTTTTACTTGGTCTTTAAAGAAGTAGCCGATAGTCACTCTTTCAACTTGTGAAGCTGAATATGTTGTTGCATCATCGAGTGTTACTTATGCACTTTGATTGAGAATTTTCTCAAAGATCTTCAGTTCGGACAAGAAGAGACGACCAAAATTCATGTTGATAACGAGTCGGCTATTGCACTTTTTGGAAAAACCTAGTGTTTCATGAAAGGAGCAAACATATCGATACTCGATGTAATTTTATCTGCGATCAAGTAAAGAACAATGAAGTTGAGCTTGAGTTTGTTAAATCGCAAGACCATATGGCTGATATATTTATTAAGCCATTGAAACATGATGTGTTTACTTTATTGCGAGGCAAGCTTAGCATAATTGAAGGATTAAGTTTAAGGGAAAATGTTGAAAGTAAACTTGATTAATTACCTTGAGAATTGAGAAGATCGTTTAGTTGTTTGAGGAGCCAAATGAATGAATATGTTAGTTGCATGAATATTGTTGGGAAATTCAAGAGTTTTTTTGTTAGGAGATCTAAGAGTCATTGTAATAGTATATATATGTGTGGTTTGTAAGTTGAAAGAGGTCAAACAAAGGGGAAAAAATCAATAGAATCATTTTAGCCGCCTCCAAATTATTTACCTTGGGCAAAATATTGTTATCAGTAGGCTGCAGGTTTTGAAAATGGACATTCCTAATACTTCAGCTTGAGTTGTCATGTTTAGGTTCAAAGTAACAGAATTTCTTGAAGCAATGGGAGCTAACTTTTTTGGCAGCACAATAACACATGGATTTGAAGAGGTTTGATAATCAATGTGACTACGTGTATCAATGAAGTGTAACCATGACACAATACCATTGATACTAATAACGATTACATCCAATATCCTAAACCCTAATCTCTCTCCTCTGTTTTTTTTTTGGGGGGGGGGGGGGGGA